AAAGCTGCGGGTCCCTGTCCTGCCCCCCGCCCCCACACCGGCTCCGCAGCTCTAAGTGGTTAGGCAGGGGGCACTGCGGCCAGGGGAGCTGCAGGAGGGCCCAGCCCCAGGGTTGCAGCAAGTGCCAGCCACTCCCAGAAGTGCTGGGGGACCAGGGCAGGCAGGGGGTGGCCTTAGCCCGTAACGCCGCCGATTGGGAACCGCCCGAGGGAAGCTCAGCCCTTTTCTCAGCCCAGCTCCAGCCCTGAGCCCCTCCCGGAGCTGGCACCATAACCCCCGTGCCTCACCCAGAACCCCTGCCCCAGCCCTGAGTCCTTCCTTCCCCGATCTCCCTCCCAGAGCCCACAGCCTGTACCCCCACCTGTCCCTCTGCCCAGCCTCTGCTTGGAGCCCCCTCCCACAGTCTGATCCCCTCTGTCCTCGTGTGACGGACCGTGCCAGGGCTGGGCAGAGCTGAGGGCATCCACTCAGGGCGAATTGCTCAAATTTCAGGCTCCTTATAGCCCCCAGATTGGAAACCTTCCCAAACAGGCCACACACCAGTCCCACAGAGCGCTTCAGCGCCTCGTGATTCCCTGCGAAGCCGCATCTGGGGTTAAGAGCAGATCTGGAGACCAAGATGGAGTCGGCCACATGGTCTATATACACCCCCTCCTGGCTTCTTCCAAGCTGGAGGGAGTCACATGGCCAGTGGCCAGGTGTGTCTTTGGCCTCCTTAGGCCCATTGTTCCCGGGAGCTTTGCTCATTACCATGTCCATGGGCAAACATTCCCGGCCCATTGCTCTGCCTCAGACAGAGAATCTTTCAGCATTAACCCAGAGCACATATTCATAACTCCAGAAAAGCATGTACAGAGTCAGTAGAAGGTAAGCTTTCATTTGACACCTCACGTGCCCCCTTTGTACCACTTTTGAAGACCCCCCCCCCCCCCCATGGGTGCAGCAGTGATCTGGCTGCTTCCCTAAAATCCAATAATGTAACACCTCGCCCGGAGCCCGCACCCATCCCACACCGGAACTCCCTACCCCAGCCAGGGGAAAGTGAGGGAGGGTGGGGCAGGAAGCGAGGGAGATCAAGCAGGCAGAGGGGGCAGTGGGGGGGGCTTCAGGCAAGGGGCTGGGTCCAGAGTGTTTGGGTTTGGGCTCCAGTCCGGGATAGGCTTGGCCTGGGGGGCAGGAGGCCGGCTGGGGGAGCTAAGAGCCACGTTCTCTCACCCGTAGAGCTGGGGGTGGTTCCGAGCTCGCACACGCCCACGCCAGCTCTGGGGCACTGGACGTGCAGCGCAGCCGGAGCCCGGTAGGGCTGAGTGTCCCACGTACGGACGTGTCTGCGCCCCGCGGCTCTGCCCCCACCACACTCCTTCCCAAATCCTGTGGCGGTGGGGGCGGGGGAGGATGGAGGAGGTTGGATGGGGGAGGGGCGCAGGTGCTGGGCATCCTCGGCGGAAGCTGGGTAGCCAGGCGGGGCGCAGTCAGGGCAGGTTTGG